TTTTTTTTTCTTTTGCGCACAAAAAGTATTCTCGTAGCTTTGTAAAATTACGGTTGAACCCCTGATGTCACTGATGTCACATGCTATTTCTGGGCCTTGATCGTGTAAGGATCCTTGCTGTCTATGGGAGGGTCAGAGAGCTCTCAGATTCCATCAAAAATATCTTAACTTGTGTTCCGAAGATGAACGAAGGTCTTACGGGTTTGGAACAACATGAAAGTGAGTAATTAATGACAAAATTTTCATTTTTGGGTGAACTATCCCTTTAAAAATGATTTTGTTTCTGTTCTTAAAAAAACTACCAGAAAAAAGTGCAACAGCTTGCTACATGGGCAGTACATTCAAAGGTACAACTTTGTCCCTAGTCACTTCATAACGGGTGCTTATTAGGAGGGAGTACCTTAAAATACTAATATGCACCTTTTACGGGCAGTTAGGATACAAAGGTGTACTTTTGAGGCTACTGCTTTAGTAGCATACTAAAAGATTTTTTTGCTATAAACATACCTTTATCTGTCCAAGTTTAATTTGCAAGGACAATTAAAGTAAGCTACTCATAGCCTGGCAAGAAAAGCGTGCAATGTGTGGCTCCTTGAAAACATTTGAGGCGGGGCTGTCAAATAGGGGCAGTAGTAGTGTTTTGGAAACAATTGTGTACGGTGCCACTAGTGGTGCAGAAATTACACACTTTAACTTAAGCCTTGCAGTGCATGCATTCACCTCTTCACTGGTTGTGATTGACTAACAGGAAGGAAGTTCCAGAGAAGGCTCCTCCCATTCTCAACCATCAGTAAGACTGTTTCACGTCCATGGAACAAATGAGTTCAACACACGTGCTGTTGAGGTGCCTCCACGCTCATCTTCTCTGAACTCCAACGATGTGTTTGTGCTCAGCACAGATAAGTGCTGCTACCTGTGGTATGGCAAGGTTGGTAGTTTCAAATGCTGAGAATATCTGGCATATTTCAGAAGACGTTTCTGCATATTTCTTACCTGTCTGTCCTACATACTTGCCTTAAATATTACTGTGTAGGGCTGCAGTGGAGATGAGAGAGAGATGGCCAAATCGCTGGCTGACATCATCTCCAAGAGGGAGAAGAATGTTATTGCAGAGGGTCAGGAACCAGCTGACTTCTGGGTAAACCTTGGTGGAAAATCACAGTATGCCAGCAGCAAAAGGTACAGTAACATTTGCATATTGTACATTGTAAAAGAACAAATTATCTGCTTGGCTCTGTTCCAAATCCTACTGAAACAGAAATGTTGTGAAATATCATTATAAGGTAAAATAACTGTTTTCTATTTAATATATTTTAAATTGTAATTAATTTCTGTGATTTCAAAGCTGAATTTTGTGTTTATTTTTACTCCAGTCTTCGGTGTCACATTGCTTTTATAGTTAAAAATTAAATTTTAATTTCAATACATTTTTAATTCCACTTTCTTCCATTCAAATTGGAATGCTGCATCTTTTAGTTTAAATTCAATTCAAAGTCAGGAATTTAACTGGAATTTAAAAGGTATTCTCAGCTGCCTTTTTGTCTACATAGGGCAGCTACATTACATACTAAGTCTGCATCTTAACTGAAATGGAACCTTATAAATGAGCATTTTGAAATGCTGTACATACTGTAGATAATGAATCAGACAAATACAGTGCAACAGTCAGGGTCCATAAGTAAAAATTCTATTAATTTTCTCCATAGGGAAATTGATTTTTAATTGATAACTTAAAAAAGACAGACCTGTTGTATGGTATATGCCTTTTAAGCCATTATTTTTTTATTTTTATTTTTTATTGTGTTTACTATTGTAATTCTTAGTGAAAAACTACCCATGATGCTGTGAAGAAAATCCCACCAATCAGAGAGTTGTGGCAAACAAATCTTGTGGGTTTGGTTCATGGCTTATAATGCTTTAATAAAGACTTTTTAAAATCCCTATGAGAAAAGTGAATGGAAAAAATACTTCTAGAACCAACATTGCAGAAAAAGTGGGTGGTAACTGATGCACTCTATAGCGCTCCTCAAATGAAGAACACAGGAGAGTGATATGGACAATTGATTTCAATAGGGTTTAGCATTGGAGAATGCATTTTGGCATTGCTTTCTTTGCAAAGGATATGACTGCCTACATAGACAGTTCACAAGTTTTAGGACACTGCTTATACATTTCTTCTTTTTTCAGACTTCAGGATGAGAACTGCAATATCACGCCCAGGTTGTTTGAGTGCTCCAACCAGACAGGTCGCTTCATAGCAACAGAGATTGCAAACTTTAACCAAGACGACCTGGATGAGGATGACGTGATGTTGCTGGACATCTGGGATCAGGTGAATGTCGGCGTGGTTTTCTCTCTTCACAGTTGTTCATATTCTTTCCAGACCACTAGAAATAACAGCACAAATATGTTCTGTTAGGTGTACCTGTGGATCGGCAAAGGTGCCAATGACAAGGAGAAGCATGACGCAGTGGTTACAGCACAGGAATATCTGAAGTCCCATCCTGCAGGGCGTGACCTGGATACACCTATTCTAGTGGTGAAGCAAGGGTTTGAGCCGCCCACTTTTACAGGCTGGTTCCAAGCCTGGGACCCACAAAAGTGGAGTGTAAGTAGATGACATGAGTTTCGGCATGACAATTTACTTCACAAGCGTACGGCATAGTCAATTTTTTTTCTCTTTTAGAGTGGGAAATCCTACGACCAGCTGAAAGCAGAGCTTGGCACTGCAACTGATCTCATCGAAATTACTGTGGTAGGTTATTTATTCTTCAAATGGTAGCATTTCACTAGCAATGTCAACGTCATGGGCTCAGTTACTTAGGGGATGCATGAACTGATAAAATGTAAAATGAAAAACACCTTCTAAATGCATAAATGTACAGTAGCAAGTGAAAGTGAAAAACGGTTTAACACCTTGTGCACAGGATCTGACCAAACCAACCACAAACCAAACAAACTCAACTAACTCAACTCAAGGGGGTAACTTACCCCGTCCTGTCACAGAAACCTTCCCTCCAGAGAAGCTGGTGAACGTTCAGACAGAAGACCTGCCTGATGGAGTCGACCCCACAAGAAAAGAGGTGAACTCTTGATCTACAAACATCTTTCTTGCACAAATCTAACACACAATTCCAAAATGCAATGGAAAAAAAATGCCCAAAACAATTAAAATTGTATATATGTTGTATATGTTGTATATATATATATATGTGTGTATTTGAATACAAAACATTTTTAAATAGTAAAAATTCAAATAAGAAATTTCTTACAATACTTTTAAAGAAAATAAAGTTTATTTTTAGGACTTTTTAGGACTGTTGCCTTATGACAATTAAGCTTTGTGCATTGAGGTAATGATAATAAATGAGGCATTCTTATTACCGTAAAGCAGTGGTTCTCAACCTTTTTTTCCACTAGGCCGCACTATGGTCCAAGTGCAAGTCTCACGGGCCGCACGCATATCATTTACATATTATGTCACCAATACAAACCAACCAGATGCGTGACTTGACGCGCGACATTGCAGAAAATGTGCGTTCACAAATGTAGCCTATGTTCTCTCCAGAGATGTTTTGCCACATTTCTGCAATTAAGGATGATTGCTGCATAGTATGGGTGTTTCCTTTTGCCTGAACTAGAGCCCTGCATTTCAGCCCGGGCCCAATGGGCCCCGAATTTTTTACGCCCCTAGGGCCGGGCTTCGGGACAATTTTCACGTCATAGTTAATACGCGGGCCGGGCATCGGGCTTGTTTTAGGCTTCTCCTTATTTTTATATTTTAGACATCCATCAATTAGTGATGAAAAAAATATATAATTTGCCGCGCTGGTGGAAACAACACGAGACCGTGCTGCCGCGACTGTCAAGAGCGGCTCGA